ATTAATGTTACTATAGTGACACTAATTTTACTATAGTGACACGAATGTTACTATAGCGATACGAATGAGATTGTTTTCTTTAAAATACTCAATATCCAAAATAAAATATTCTACCATTTCAAATAGTAAACACAAACTCAATCTCAATTTTCATTTACACTATCAATTGCAAACCTTTAGACGTATATTATATAATATACATATTTAATTTTCACAATAATATCAAAAGTTTGTACTCAGTAACACATCGACTTTTACAAAATATAAGATAATGGAGTTTTCACAGTAACATCAATTTTCAAAAGATTATAATGAAAATATGATCCACAAATTAAAAATTTGCAAAATTTTTGTAACGCCCTAAAATCCATCCTTGAAGGCATTACTATGTACAAAACATCCAGTCATAAGAGCAACTAAAGATAACCATTAATTAATAAACCATTCATCCAATTGAGAAAGAATAAATATTAAAGTCAATAAAATATTGTTATTGTCTAACTTACAATTCAAAACCAAAGAATATCTAGCAGCGGAATAATTAAACTAATTAAAACATTGTTTCATAAACATCTCTCAAACACTAAATCAAAAATAAAACAATTTTATTCTTCTAAGACAGGGTCCACATCTTAATTCTCCACTAGCGAATAATTAACTTGATCATCTACATACACATCTTGTTCTATACCAAAATTTGTAAGTGAGTTGTAGGGGATGAGCAAAAAACTCATAAGAAATCCCTCTCAAATTTCAACAAGATTTATAAAACAATTAAAAAAAGACAAGTCCCTTTTGAAAATAGCATATATAAATTTTTGAAAGTAAAATCATGACAATTGTAATTATCTCAAGTGTACGGAATACAATAAATTAATGAAAGGAATAAACATATCTGAATTAAAGCAGTCAATTAATAACTCAGTAGTATCATCTCATATTTTCATGTATATTTATTCATCCTCATTCTCATGTATGTTGATTGCTTCTTAGGAGGAATCTACACAACGATTCTACCTCATTCATCTATCACAACCACACAATCTCAATCATTTTTTGCAAGACCAAATCACAAACCACTTTAGGAAGGTGTATACCGTCTCGCACGACATTAACAAATCCTTCATATGAAAGGTATATCATCCCTCAGCCTCGAATTTACGTAAATAATAGTGGTTGCTCTCAAAAACAACAATCAACTACAAGTGTTAAGCAACCATCTTACCTCCACTGGAATAAACTAACCTCTAACACTCTACGGAAACTATCGAAAGCAATTCAAGTCCGTCATACTCAAACCATAAAAGAGATGAAATCATAATTTTCTCAACAACACAATTTTAACCAATCACAATTTTCATTGATAATTCAAGTATCACAATTGCACAATTCTAAACAGACTACAATAATAAAGGAATTAAAATATGCAAAAGATCATATCAATAAAACCTTCACAATTTCAATATCAAAATTCAAAGATTTTGCCAAAAATCATAATTTCTTAGAACAAAAACAAGTATTAGATGAAAACATAATTTAATCAAGAATAAGAATTTAGAAATCAAGAATTCATGTATTTTTTATAACCAAACATATATTTAGCAAAACTAGGGTTTTAAAAATTCAAGAACAAATATTGTTTGAACTCAAACATATATTTTGTTCAAAACTATGTTTCAATGATAAAGAAACCAAGAACTTATAAATATTTATCATATAACTATTAAGAAGATTGAAAACATACATAAATAAATACTCTAAATCTCAATGAAAGAACTCAAAAACAATCCCCTACATTTAATCCGCTGATTGAAGATAACCCTCACGTGTTTGAATCCATCCCAAAGCGAGAATTCTACTCGTGTCTCTTCTCTTTCTTCCTCTCAAGCTTTCTAGGGTTTTCTTGAACAAATAATTGTTAAACATAGGTCTAAGAGTCGTTCCTTAAGTATTTATAATGTCAAAAGTGGAGAAAACTCTCAACACAGATCATTCAATTTCTGCCCGGTGCGTCCAGAGGTGTCTGACAACATACCCTCGACTTCTAGCACAATTTTGACCTATTTACAAGTCGATTCAGGAAATTTTCTTGAAATACACTTTTGTAGCCCTTGAAGTTTAGTTTCTATTATCCAAAAATCAGCTCGATCAAAATTTAGATTAAAAAGTTATGACTAAAATACTAAGGCAGTGTCAAATTTCTTCTACCCAAATCCTCTCCAAAATAGGTCTTAACTTCGGAATACTTCTAATATATATCTCATATAACCTCTTCCAATGTTTTTCAATTTTTCGGATTCAATGGAAATCTTATTTTTACCTAAAAATATTTACAAAATTACTTAGTCATCATTCTCAAACTTAAACACCTTCGAAACTAAGTTTGACTCGAAAGTTAATTTGTCCAAAACTCAAACTTCATGATCAATCTTTCGACAACAATTCAAGATTTCTACAATATTTTTATTCATCTTAGGACAAATATTAAGATGATATTATTTTTATTTAATTCTAATACGGGGTCTTACAATTTCTAGTAGTAACACATAGTTGACAATTAAATTAGAACACTTAACACCAATCAAGAATATCAAGACATCGAAATTCTGAAATTCATTTTTCAGTTATTATACAGTAATATGATCTATTTCAGAGACACACAACAAAGAAAACAACAAAATTGAATTATATAACACTTTAATTTAGTAATAATGAATCTCAATTTTTAAATTAAGAATGCAAAAAAAAAAAAATGGATAGTTTGAACTATATATTATGTATAAGTTTTTTAAAACCCTACAATGAACATCAACTTTCATGTAAAATCGCATAACTTAACTCTATTTTTGAATCCAAAAGTTGTGAAGATGTTTTGAATGCAAAGAATAAACTATAACTTTGTCAATGAATTTTCATAGTGAATAATTTTGTCAATGGATGTCACAGTAAACTTGAAGAGTTAAATCGAAATTAATGTTGGGTTTATGTTATTATTTGAAATGGTAGAATTCTTCATTTTGAATATTTAGTATTTTAAGAAAAACAGTCTCATTTGTATCACTATAGTATTATTCATGTCACTATAGTAACACTAAAGTTAAGAAAATTTTGAATTATTAAGGAAATTTTGTGATCTTATTTTGACTTAATAGACCAACGATTTATTCGTATATCAAGCTATCACATATAACTATCAAAATATATAACTTTCATATAAAACTTCCATTAATTATCATAATATCAATGATTTTTATATATACCTCAATAATCTAACGTATATAACTTTTCATAACTGAACAAAACTAACATCGTTAGGAATAATTTTGAAATTTAAAAAATAAATAAACTTAAGTATCTATATATAAGTTTAAACATGGACTTACCCCTAAATAAATTTCTTTTCAGAATTCAAGTCATTATAAATCCATTTAGAGAAACTCACTTTCAATTTTCACTATAAAAAAAAGACCCTCTCACAAGGATTGCCTAATAGGCCCGGCCAATGAGTGACATGTAGTCTACCCCTACCTGAAGCTCAATCCGATTCGGCCAATAACTCATCGGGGTAAAAGTTTGGGCCTACCCTACCCAACCCGAAATTTTTTTTAAAGGCCTAACCCAGCCCAGGACACCCCTTGCATCTCACTCTGAAACAGTGCCAAACTACATTACTTATATACAAATTACCATTACTTCCAATCTTGACCCTTTTTTTTTTTTTTTCCGCTTACTAGATTTTGGCGGGTGGGGGCGGGGTTGATCGATTCTCTTTAATACATGACACATTATTGGATCTGAATGCTAACATCCACCCCTTGTGTGCACGTACTAATTGTTGATGGCCTAATTTCCTCTGTAAATATCATCTAGGGAAAAAAAGCTGTTAACCAGTGGGAAAAGAGAGAAGGTAAAGGAGTAAAATTAACCAATATATGTATGTCTCTGAGTGTGTGTAGAGAGAGAGAGAGAGAGTGATAGAGAGTTGTTCATATATGAACTATGAGTACTGGTATGCACTATCTAACTCCAATAAACACGACACAAACATATAGGAAAGCACCCTGTAAAGTGCTGGGATTACAAGCTAAAAAGCAGGCATTTAGATGCTAACTACAACATTATACACAAATATTACAAGCATACCTGTGCAAAAATTTAATTCAGGATCATTCTTGCTGGAAGGCAAACTCCAGGAGCTTGCTCTTCCAAAAGAAGGCCTTCACAAGTAACCAATTTCAGAACAGAGTGAGCAGTGAGCTGGTATCTCTGCTGGGCTTCCACAAAGCCCCTACAAAGAACCTGTTCGATCCAATCCTCCACTGCTCTCTTCCTGTCTGACAACCAAGCAGCTGCAAGTATTTGCACAATTACTTCTGGATCAATCGCCAGCTGGATGTCAACTCCGATCGTCTTCTGGAAGCTTAGGCTGATTTCTTTCAAGACTTTCTCAGCAAGAGCATCGAAGTCAAATGGCTTGAAGACCACTTTTTCATCTAGTTGGTCCAAGAAATCTTCCAACCATCCTTCTGAATTGTCAGAGCTGACATCACTGTCACAGTTTCCATAACCATCATCCTCCTCCATCTCCTTGACAGGCAAATTCAAATCCAACCAGGACTTTGATGTCTTGTGTGCCCATTTTTTGGTTTCAAATGTTTTGTCCTGCTCTGTGGAGTCACTAATGTCAACCAGCTTCCTCTTATTCACAGAAACTGAGCTTGGAGTTGCTTTCCTAGGCTTAATAAACACATTGGAGCTGCTTGTTCTTTTGGCGTCCCCAGCAACACAACTAGGTAATATTTTCATTTGCAAACCTTTGGATCCTAAAATTCTTTCTTCTGAAAATTCAGGGGTTTCTTTCCCAGAAAGGGAATTTTTACTACCCTTCATAATACTTGTAGTATTCACAAAGATAACATTGTTGATGCTGATTTCTCTCCCATGCAAATCTTGAAATCTACCAGTTCTAGCAGCCTCAGACAAGCTATTTTGAACCACGAAATCAGCCTTATCTATGTTTTCAAGGAGGACGACAGACTGACGTTTCCTGCTCAACTCCTCAGCAATGTAATCAACAACTGTCTTCCCCCTAAATTTTATATCATTGCTGTTCAAAGCATGATGGTCAAAAACACAGTTTGAATGGCGGATTCCAACTTCAGAGCTCAGATCCACAGAGATTAAGCTTTCCTTGCTGCCAAAGATTATCTCGGCAAGTGCTGCAGCAATTTTTTTCTTTCCCACTTTGTCAGGTCCAAGAAATCCGAGCCAGATATCTCCTCTCTGACTTGAGCCACCGTGCCTACCATGTCCAGCCCTACAACGAGATACGGTCTGACCAATTGTACAAATGGCTTCATCTTGCCAGCCAACACTTTCAGCAAGAACCCTCCAGAAATACTTGAGATCTTTTGTGTCCAACTGCCCTCTGAACTGAGGACCAGAATAGGAAGAAGATTGAACACGATGGATTGAGGCATTTTCGCTACTCCTATTAAACTCAGAAGAAACAGTTCCAGAGAAGTACTGAAGACGATCTTTGTGATCTTGAAATACGGATTTCCTTAACTCTCGTTCAGTGGATGCATAAAGAGTTCCGAGCCCTAAATCAGTGGTCACGGGGGTTACATATGATGGTGACGTATGGCCAGGGACCATGCTCAAAGTGCACAGAGGTTGAGAAGGATGCCAGGGACTCTCCCTCTCTGGCTGCTGAATCTTCAAATCTTGCACTGGTATTTTGGATTGGAAACTGACATTTTCAGCTTCAAAAGCGATTGGAATTGGTGTCTTTTGTTTCAGCAGAGAAATCTTTTGAGAGTCCAATGGCATGCAAGAACTTAGGTTTGTACATCTGTTTTCATTCAAGGAAGAATTTGTACCACCGATTTCCTTTTTATCACCAACAAACTTAGCGCCCTCAAAACCTGCAAATTGAGACCTGGCTTGTGAAGTATCTTCTTGAAATGATCGAGCAGAATGAAGGCGCTGACACATATTGGTCCATTTCATTTGCAGCCCTGTAAGTCTTGCATTCAACACAGTTCCATCATCTTTGGCCTGCACTGAAATGATGGAGCACATGTTTACACAAATATTTCAGAAATCATTTAACAAAACACCCTGAATATTGTCCAAAAGTCAAAGAGATCGGAGTCAAAGAATTCAGACTTTGAAGGAGTTACACACCTCCATTAAATCCACTTTCTTGCATGTGTCATGTTCAGGCATTAGTAACCAAGAAGATAAACTTTTTGAGTGCTGATCAGCAACTGAACCACAGGATCCTCCATTCAGAAGAGCAGAAACTTCTTCCTCACAATGTTTATTACACAAGTCACAACGGGTTGCAGACTGATTTGTGCTGTTCAATAGATTTTTGAACTCAGATGGTGTAGGAAAGAACCCACCAAATGGAACAAATGACCCCATCAAGCTGTAAGTGTATCACGAGCAAGCAACTGTGAGATAAAAGTTCGTTTGAACATAGATATGAGGGAAAAGCCCTAGAATATAGTACATACCTCGCACATAAGAGCAAACAGCCCTAGAATATGTAGTGTTGTAACACTAAAGTAATAAAAACACTAATTAAAAATAGAATGGGAAACCATGCAGAAATTTACACAACAACCTTCCTGATGTTATCACTCTATGGTATGATCAAGCCTTCGTCTCATTCAGGTCAAAAACCCTTTTCTAGGGCATAATGCATCAAGAGAAACCATACATATAGAAAATCGGAAACCCAATGCAACAGAATGGAAACTAAAGTCATTTAACCTCTTCATATCTTTTGGACAGGAAGAATTAGATCACCCAACAATTTAGTTAAATGAAAAGGAGTCATCAAACTGAAGGCTCAAGTAGATGAATGCTTTAATGAATATCCCTCCAGCTGAATAACAATAATCATCCGAATTATGCAGTTCAGCGTACTTCAAACTTGAGCACAAAGTTCATTCAGAGGATATATATCATTCAGGGGTGACTAATTCATCTTCAAAGTTCAACGATTAACAATAAATCACCCTAGCAAGGATTCAGGGAGCTGCATAATTCCAGTGTCGAGTACAAATGTCCCTTCTATATCAGCTATAATCTTAAAGTAGGATGAAAGCAAAGCTCCATGTCCTCCCATGAATAAGACGACAACAACCAGAGATGTGACTTCAATTTCACAAGGTTTTGGAAAGGTTACAGTATGTTACAACAGAGGTCAAAAATGTGCAATTCAGTTATCACAACAAAATCGGATGCCAATTTGTATGAGGTTTTACTATCATTAATCTTTTTGCTAAACAAATTGCAAACTATTAGTCAAAGACTTTACAAATGAAAAAAAACATTTAACATTATGCAAAAAAGGGTCAGTTCAACATGTACTTAATGTACAATTATATTGTCTAATTCACTAAGTATGCATGTCACATTTCGAGCTCAAGCCTTATGCAGATGGGCTTTTCACCCCATCTCTACTCCATATAGTATTTATAGATCTAGAAAAAGCATATGATAAAGTGCCTATAAATATAATATAGAAGGTACTTGAGAGAAAATGAGTGACAAATAGGTATATTGAGGTGATAAAGGATATGTATGACAGGCTATGACTACAATTAGATCTTGTATGGAGAAAGTAAAGAATTTTCAATCACGGTGGGATTACACCAAGGATCAGCCCCTAAGTCCATACTTATTCGCCCTAATTATGGATGAACTCACTAAGCACATTCAAGATGATATCTCACGGTGTATACCATTTACAGATGATATTGTATTAATAGATAAAACTCGAAGGAGAATTAACAATAAGCTAAAAATTTAGAGAGATACACTCAAGTCGAAAGGGTTTAAAATAAGTAGGACTAAGATTGAATATATGCAATGCAATTCAATAATAAAAGAAGTAGGCATAGTGAAAAAGTTAAGATTGCAGATCAAGAAATACTAACAAGTAAATAATTTAGATATTTAGAATCCATATTAAAAATGATTGAGAGATTAGAGGTGATGTAACTCATAAAATCAACGCAAGTTTGCAGAAGAGGAGGAAAGCGTCTGGCATATTATATGATAGAAGGACACCAATAAAATTGAAAAGTAAATTTTATCTTATGAGTACAACAATGTTGTATGGCACAGAATGTTGAGCAAATAGGAAATAACATAGTGACAAAATGATTGTAGCAGAAATGAGAATGCTAAGGTGGATATGTAGAAAAACTAGAGAGAATATAATAGGAAATGACTGTATTAGAGAAATAGAATAGGAAATGACTGTATTAGAGAAATTGTAAGAATAGCTTCAATTGAGGATAAGTTAAAAAAAAATAGATCAAGATGGTTTGGTCATGTTCAGCAGAGGCCAATAGAGGCACCGGTTCGAAAAAGTGAGAGAATTTCTATTAATGGTACTAGAAGTAGGGGTAGACCTAAATTAACATGGAACGAAATAATAAGAAAAGATATGAAAATATTTAACTTAAATGAACGTATAGTGCATGATTAAAATGAATGGCGAAGACAGACTTATATAGCCGACCCTAAATGATTGGGACATAAAGCCTAGTTTGCTTTACTTTGATTTGATTTAACTGTTGAGATTACTGGTTAATTGACTCAGCAATCTGTTCTCTGGCATTTCTCCATACCATTCGCTGCACCACATCTCTTAGTCCTATAATATAATTTACAATACATTTCGTACAAGATTCGAGCTGTTTTCTCGTATTCCTCAAATTAAGCACATTCATATTAAAATCTTGTTCAGTTTTGTAAAGCTCCTAAAATAAAATTACAGTAATTTATTATAAAATTTAGGTATTGCCCACTGGCCACAGCCCAGAAACCCATTTGTTTTCAAAAAATTTGTATCATTGAACTTTAAAAGCACGGTAAAATATAAAAATCGAAATTCAGCACAACACCCTGAAATAGCGCAGGAGATATTTTATTTTATATTTTTTTGGAAAGAAATTGGACCACTCACCTGGATTTTGAGGATAATCCTCCAACAGAAGGTTGGGAAGTGATTGGTAGCAACTGCAAATCCCAATCTTTCTCAATTGAAGGAAACCGAGCCAGAAACTTCATGTAGGTCTGGTAACTCCCTGCCACCCCAATCAGCCACAATTTCTCACAATGAACCTTCACCAATCTATTCAATTGTGAAACCACATAGTTAATCGCATCAACAGACCCAGCATCAACAAGTATCGTCAAATCTCCATAATTTACAACAATACCAGCCCCTGTACAGTGCTCTACCATATCATGAATCTCCTTGAACTTCAAACCCATCATTTCTTCACTCCCACCTTTACCAACATACTCTAAAATCTCATTATCAATGCCAACTACAATCAACCCATCAATTTCGGCTGGCAAGACACCATTTTTACCTTTCTGTACATACTGTGCAAAAGAATTAAGTGCATCGTTTGCGCAAACTCCGATTAATAACGGGTTTTTTGCCTTCTTATTCACAAGAACCTCACAAATTCTCTTACAGTTCTCATCACCAGTCTCAGACCCAGAAAACCCTGCAAATGGAAAATTAAACCCACGTCGATTTAGCTCAGAATCATCCGATAAATTACAGAGAAACAAAGGTGGTGGATACCGAGACACCGAAAATCTTGAAATGGGTGGAGGATTAACGATTGCAAGCTTAACATCACAGCTCCGAAAACCCGCATCCCCGAATACCCGACTAACAATCGGGTCATCAAGGATCGATAATATAAAATGTTTCAGCTCGACTTTCACGGTTGATATCGACGACGATGAATTATGATTTTGAAGCTGTTGCTGGTACAGATGAAACGTTTCGGGATGTCTTCTTTGATTCGCTTGAGATCTTTTGATTGCAGCCATGAGAGAGTTCGATATCGGAGGCTCGTCCAGGGTTTTAGAGGATGGTAAGCGATCGAGGGAGACTCCGACACAGAGCTCAAGCGCTCGGAACTGTAAGCGTGGTGAGTACGCGGAGCTCCGAGAGCGTGCACATGCTTCTCGGAGAGTGGAGGAGGGGAAGGCCAAAAGAGCAGAGACAGCATGGAGAGAGGTGGTCTGGGCGTGGCTGCGACGGCGAGCCACGGACACAGCGTCATCTAGTGCACGAACAGCCTCCTCTGTTAAACATTGCCGAGCTGTGCTCACCGACGTTGGCATCGCCGGTAAGCCTATGCGTAAACGCGTACTATATATTAAAGACTGTACTTGGAGGTTTCCCTCAACCAAACTCGAAAGAAATAAAAAATTCCAAGAGTGTTCGCTTCATGAACTTTTGAATTATTTATTGCTGAAGTAGATGATTACCACAAAGGGTGAGAGAGAGAGAGAGAGAGAGAGAGACGCAGAGAGTATGTTTTGTTCTTGATGGTGAAGTGGGTCCCCGTCTGAGGCACTGGAACGAACACATGGTGAGCATAGATTCTGCTACCAATCAAAAAAAGAAAGATCTTTTCTTGAATCCGTGTATGGTTTTATTTGTAATAACATTGTTGGAATTGGAGAGATAAAGATGAGGGCGTGGGGGTGGGGGTGGGGGAAAGAGAAGGGAATGCCGTGTCCTGTGTCCACTTGATGGTCAAATGGGCCAAATTAATCGATGGCACTGAGAGTCGCTGTCAAAGCTTTGAGAGTAGAAAGGAGCATTTTTCCTGATAAGAGTGGGGGGAGAGAGAGAGAAGGGTCAATTCAAGATCATCAATTTGCTGAATATTTTGCATGTGATAAGGTGGTAAGAAGGGTTGAAACTGAAATCAACCTTCCCTCTCTCTCTCTCCACGACATCCTCCACCACACATATCTTTCCTTCACAATCAACTTTGGAATGCATGGGATACTCTAGTCCCACGCGCATTTAATTACATGTTCATCACTCTCTATATATAAGAAAGACTGATTTTTAATTCTCCCATTCTTGCAATAAATTGTTACCTCTGAATGCTAAGCATGTACATAAGCATCATTATTCAATTTGGTCACTAAGAATTAATAATTAGTGGTGCAGTGCAGTGCTCCTATGAAATTTATAATCTCTTCTTACAACTACTGTTCTTGTTGGCTAGTGACAAATTGGAATTTATTCCTTGTTATGAAAAAGGTTTAAATTATTTAATTATTGCACTTTTTGTAAAAGTGTTGTTTTCCGCATAACAAGTTGGTGGAGAAGTGGGAATTGCCAAGTCGCGGAGGAACTCTCAAGGGGCATAAAGGTGTGATTTTGACCTCCCATTTTGTTTTTGTCCCCTTTTAATCTTGTTTTCTTTTTTATGAAAAAGAATAATTGAGGGCAAAGATGTAAGTGAAAATATAATATTATTCAATTTTGTCGCTTGATTAGTCCATAGAATATAAAGTACACAATCTATGGTACGAGATTCACATCCATCACAAAGTTGGGAAGAAGTATACAGTAAACATTTTTACCTCTTATTTAAAGTTAATTATCACTGAACTTCAACTTGTCGGATTATATCTTGTAGAAAAAATTCCATCTCCACCTCTGTTGAATAGGTTTAAATTTAATGATACTTTTTCTCATTTTTTTAAATTTTACTGACACCCTTATCAAGATTTGTCCAATAGCGGCAATGACGAAAGTAACATTTTTACATTTATACCCATACTAAATCTATTAATTTACCAATATAACATATTTATTTATCTAAATATTGACTCATATAACTTAAACAACATCCCCTCTCAATTTTAAAACTTCATTACACTCCATTTTAAGTCTATTATATTAATTTTCAAGTTTATCAATTTAATATTTAATTTTATTAAATTAATATTTTTTTTTTAATTCAAACTAAATTAACATTCTTTCTCATCAAATTAACACAAATTTGATATTTAATTTAATCAAATTAACATTCAGTTACATTGATTTAATATTTCATTTCATCAAATTAATATTATTTTTTTAATTTAGCACTAAATTATCATTTTTATTATTATATTCTATTAATTTAATATTTAACCTTATCCAATTAATATCATTTTTTAATTTAACATCAAATTAACATTCAATTTTATCAAAACAACATTTAAATTTATTCAATTAATATTAAATTTTATCAAATTAATACTAAATTAATATTTAATTTAACCAAAGTGAATGTTAATTAGATAAATTAAATGTAATTTTAATGAATGTGAATATTAGTTTGATAAAATTTGAGATTTAAGCCCGTTGTTAGTGGCTTAAAGTATATATAATAAGGCAAAAAGTTGAGGGCATTTTAATCTATTAACATAATAAAGGGTAAGTTTAACATTTTTAAAGAATAGATAGTCAAATTGTGCACTTTTTCTAGTGGTAGAGATGGAAGTTATCGTTAGTGGGTGTCCATGATTTTACACTACAAATCAAAAAGGGGTGTAGTCAAAATTTAAAATTGAGAAGGGGTATTATTAAATTTAAACCTAACTATAGAGGTGTGAATGAAATTTTCCTTTTCTTGTAATATTTACTCAACTTTATTGGTTTGATAAGACCCAACCTTTTGGAACACTATTTTTATTTTAACTATTTCTTTTTGCTTTAACAAAATTTATTTTATTTCTTTTTTTTAATTCTCTCTTTAAAATTGTTTTCTATTTTTCCTCCCTTATCTTCCGAACATGTTGTAAGAGTTTTAAGACTAAAATTCTTTGGGAATTTTAGAGGAAATTTTAGTAAGAAGAATTTTATAGTGCTGCCAAATGCTCTCTTTCTCTCTCTCATAATGTTGGGTAGGATGGGCAAGTTTCCCACACCAAAGCCTGTGCATAGTTATCATTCTCCCGTGTACCCTCTCAACGCCCAAAGGGCCATGCGCCCCCACAAAAAGCTTATCGATGGCGATGGGCTGATAGCTCCTTTTGGACTTTCACTGCAATCAACTTGCACTGTTGCACACTTGTACTATGCCAACTATCATTTACCACATTGCGCGTCTATTCTACTTCGAAAATCTGGACACTTGGTGCTACACCTGTTAGTGGGGATGTCAAAAACATTGTCTAGTAGTACTAAAAGGAAAGCAACAAACTAACCAAAAAGCAAAACTTCCTAAAATCTAAGAGCGACTCCTCCAACCCAACTCCCTATTTTAAATTCACAAAATATATTTAAATATTATTTTTTTATTTTATAAAATTATTTTTATAAATTCATTCTAATCGCACTCTTTATTTTAATAAACTATTTCACCTAACTTTTAATAATTTAAAGAGAATTACAACATATATATATATATATATATATATATATATATATATATATATATATATATATATATTAGTCATAACTCGTGCTTGAAGGCACAATAAAATATAAAATTCGAGCGTCCAAAAAATCGATCAAACTATATTAAATTTTTTCAAAATATATTAAATACAAATTAATCAAATATTAAATGATTAAATATATGATAGAAATGAGTGATATGATATTTTTAGGGATGAAATATATAAATGATTAAACATGTGATAGAAATGAGTGATGTGATTTGACGTTTGAGTCTGATAAATAGATGATGGGTGAGGTAAGTGATTGATAATGATTTTCAGAGGACAAATATGACTGGGATAAAATTTAAACACACTTCTATTTTATTATATAGATATATAAAGAGAGATAGGGATAGAAAGAGAAAGAGATAGATAAAGAATTTAGAGAGATTGAATGACTCTCTATATTTGAAAAACTATTTGGGTGAAATAGGATATAAAGTATGGGCTGAAGAATTTTTTTAATGTTTGACTAAATAAAATAACTAAAATAGAATAAATAGAGAGGGAGTTAGTGTTGTCCCAACGAAGGTGAAGATGTCAATTTTACTTAAGGTAAATTGCATCAATAACACTAGAGATTTGTCACTAATTAAACTTTGACCCTTAAAATTTTAATTTCATCAATTTTACCTATAAGGTTTAAACATTGACCCAACATAATCCTTTGCAGTGACCGCGGTTCAAAAAATAGAAGAAAAATGTCGTGTGCAAATCACGTGAGAAAAATTTTGTTACTTTCCAAACAAAGAGAATGAGCAAAAATGGGAAAGATCGCCAACCCTAACTCCAGCCCTCAACCCACATTTGCCCCTTGCAACTCTCCATCCCAACCATCGGCTGCCACCACTTCCACTCTTCCACCACCCAAAATTCATTCACCTCCACCACCACCACCACAAAGGCCAGCCCCAATCAGCTAGCCCTTATCCGTAACCCAACCACCTCCCCCTCCTACTCAGTCACCTGTATGCCCACCACCACACGCCTGCCACCTCCATCAAGACTAATTGTCAAGCACCCACGAATTGTAGGGAAAGAAACAGAAAATTCTAGAGAGAGAGAAACACAATGTTAGAGAGCGGTATCTACAATCAAAGCCAAATACCCTATTCAAACTTAGGTCTTCATCAATTCAGCTTTGGGGACGTGATAGTAAAGCAGACTGGTGCTCAATTCTGGGGCATGTGCAGAACTGGAGCTTGATATTGACGAAGATCTAGGGAAATCGAATGATGGTTTCAGCTTTAACCCCACTGCTAAAGCAAAACCCAAGCCCTTTGCTGTCATGTGATTGTTCCAGACACAAAGAGAGGAATTTTTTGTTGTATGAGCTACAAATCTAATTGAAGAGAGGGATGCGTAGAGATAGAGAGGTGGTTGTGCTGTTTTTGTTTTGTGGTGTGCAGTGTGCTGTGTGCGTACTAAAATCCTTTACTAATATAATAGAAAATAAGATAATCAAGCCTTATTGTTGTAAAGCTAATTAAAACGACTTGGCCTAAAAATACCATAATAGAAAATAACATAGACCCAAATTGACATCTTTGCGTATTAGAAAAGCAAGGCAGCTTCGTGGACTAGGGATGTATTACACGCGCGCGTGGTGCTTCAAAGCTCATAAATACTACACAGTAGTTTCTATTGGTTGAAATCTGGAGAAGAAAAAAAGGTGTATCTAGTGATAATGGCTCATAGATCTCACTTTCCGCTTAAAGATGCTTTTGCTTAGATGGGAATACAAAAAAGCACTTATTCCTGCCCAATTGTTCTCTCCTAATATGGTCATGCTCCTTTTAAGCCAAACAGAACCTCCAACAGTTCAGGACAACTAGTGTTGTAGGATATAAAAAAAGGAGTTGATTATGGTATGCATTTATTGCATTTGTCTTTGCTTTTATTATATTTGTGAAGATTTTTATTGTTGTTGTGGTACCAAAAAAATAATTATCATAACAATAGTAAAAATATATATAAATATAATAAAATATTTACAAAAGTGATAAATTATCCACAAAAATAATAATTATTTATAAATTGAAGAAAAATAATAAAATAGTTACCACAAATGTGAGGAAAACAATCATAATAGTGGTAAAAACTTACAAAAGTAGTAAATTACCTGTAAAAGTGGTAATTTTTTTTTTTTATAAAATGATTCACAAAAATTAT